GGGGGGGGGGTCATCCCAAAAAATGACCGCTATAAGGGGGGGCCACGTGAAAAAATTGGTAAGCTGAGGGGGGGCATGCGATTTTTAAATGTGCTTCCCAAATCCCACCAGCCCCCCCCTCCCTCATAAAAAATGAACGGTCCCTTACTCATCATAATTTATTTTGGTTGTTTACCTCACCACTCACTAGTAGGTGTTAATTAATAAAAAATACTTCAGTTATCACCAAAGCAAGAAAGGTAATAGCTACTCAGTCCGACTAGCTGATGGTCTGTTGAAAAGATTGCCACTTTAAAAGCAAATGTGATGATATAACTTGTTTTTTTTCTCTCAAATAGAATGGGTGTTTTAATCAGTTTCTTCAGTATACATGTAGAACACTTCCTGAGCAATTGACTATGTACATTTTCACACAGAGCAAGACATAATTATTGAAAACTTCATATTAAACTTAGTTTTCTCAGTAGTCATTGCAAGATATTGATCCATTGAATCAACAGGATAAAATAAACACAGTCTGTATATTACAACACAGTCTGTATGTTACATGTACAGTACAGACTTCAAACTCATTTAGATGCAATTGTATATGCATATAGTATTCACCTTTCTCTTTCTATTGCATCCCATCCATTAGGATTTTCCCCTGCAGTCTTGGAATATTTATCTTTTACATCATAGCTCAACTGAAAGAATTGGTCTGCTGCATAGAATGCAGAATCAATCTGAAAGATGCAATATGATAATAATTGTTGCATAGATCTGCTGTAAAATTATTTTGTCAATAAATTTGGAAGCCACTAGTCATAATATATACTATGATTATCAGTTGAGTAATGCACGTCGGAAGTTTAGTATCCAGGTTTTAACATTTAAATCATGTTGTTGTCAGGGGCAACTAGCTCCGTTTCTAGGAGCAACTTTTTGGTCTTTCACATCCTTAGCAGCAAAGCACGCAAAATTGTAGACAACAACATTGTTACCATAGGAAATGAAGAAAGTTCCCTGAGTCAACACCATAATTTTAAGGCCAAGGCTTCCTCAGCAAAACTCAATCACACCTTACTTTACTGATAATTGTAGTATCTCATTTGTGTGACTAGCAATTGCTGTATTCACACCCACAAAAGTGAAATATCAATCATCTATCAAATCCCAGATTCTTGACTTAATTTACTCAATGGTTACGATTATTATTTTTGATGGCCTGACAGTATAGTGAAAAACACCAATTAATAGAGGCATAAGCTCAATTAACGTAAGAATGGAAGAAAACAATAAAATTAAAAGTCGTCAGTCTGCAAAGACTACAAATTTGAAATTTGCAAAGCAAGAACACTCACAGCTCTCCTGATCTGCTTTGTTTAGTCTTTTAGGTTTCGCCACTGTCATGAAACTTACATGCATTTAATTTTCCAAAGCTGATTTCAGTGGTCTATGAACCTACGTCAGCTTTTGTTTTCATAACCTGATCGTATGACCAAGGGATGGAATCAGACAGAATCATGTTTGAAGACACAATTCATCCCTCATGATTCAACTGACAAAAAGAGCATTTTTTTTTTATAAAGGGGCAGATATTTATAACAATTGTATAAATCTAGTTCCGTTCTTTTTATCTCTCTTATATGTATAATAATATTTTTAGATTTTTATATAACGTAAAGCCTCGAATTAGCGCCCCCTCAAATAAGCACCCCCTTCAAATAAGTGCCCCTCCTATCAGTTAAAATTTAAAATAAGCGCCCTCCACGATTAAGCGCCCCTCTTCTCCCCCTATTTTGTGGACGAGTAATTAGACAACAAAGGATGTATAGTTTTTGTTGTGTTTAATCACTCTCGTCCAGCCTTTTTTATATGGTCATTAGTAATTTACATCTTTACAATACAGGAAACATGTTTCTAACTTCTTCTAAGGTGTATCCTACAGTTTCTTGTTCCAGTTTGGGAACACATTAAGTTTATAAATATACATGTTACAAGTACTGTTACAGTGCCACGATTTAAACTTTAAGATCAGCTTTCTATGCCGATAAACAGCTTATATTGTTGTTTATGTGTAGATGATGTATTAAAAAAATGATCATGTCTGGCCACGATTTGGGAAAAATTAAATAAGCACCCCCCTCGCATAAGCACCCCTCCTAAATTTGAAATATGGGCCCCAGGCAATAATTCAAGGATTTACAGTAGCTTTTTAGGTTTTTCGCATATTTTAAATTTTAATTTTATTTATTTATTTTACGCAGGACCCATGTTGATAGCAGTTTTATAACTGAAATGGTCATCGTGCATAATATGATCATTTATTTACCTATTTATCTAGCTACCTACCTACCTACCTACCTACCTATCTATCTAATCTTATCTATCTAATCTAATCTAATCTAATCTATCTATCTATCTATCTATCTATCTATCTATCTATCTATCTATCTATCTAT